TTTGGTATTTTTTGGTTGACAGGGATTCCGTTTTACCTGACCTATCATTATAGTGGCAGCCATTGCTGATTCACGACTCCTTGTTTGGAAGTGTTTGAATTGACTACTTTGAATTATTGTTTTGACATTGAATCACCTTCATCGTTTGTTGCAAATGCCTAATGTTCTTGAAAAGGAATCAGTCTTTACGACTGAACCTTTTGTTTACTTGTTATCTTACGGTTTTTATTTTTCAGGTTTAAGTGTATTTAACTGGCCTATTCAGTAAGGTTGAAGTGTGTTCTCCGCTTGACAGCGACATCGTTATTTTCTGATAAGCAATTGCTTTTATGGTTTTTAAAAATTTTGCGATTGATATTTTTATACGTTGGTTGTATCCAGTTTCGTAAATGTGAATTGACTATACAACCTATCTACTAAAACTGTTCTGATTTATTGTATAACGAGTAACTTTTTTATATTGAATTACTACTATAAATTTTCCTGAACCATCTTTACATCAGTCGTTGCACGTCACTCACTAAACTAATTATATATGCAACTTACGGTTTGAGAACTATAATATTTCCGGAACTTCTATATGCTCTGGTAAACAACTACGGGCATAAAGTATTTTATCGTAATGTTTAGAAGCCTGACTTCCCGTTCTTGCTGCTACAAGAAATCTGAATTTTTCTTGAGAAAACTGTCCATTGTCTCATCATTCTAACAAGTTAGTGGAAAATACGCACATCAACGTATGATAACAAGATACAAATCTGACAACTGAATTCTTATACCCACTATCCAAAATGTTTTCGAGATTACCCCTAAGGAAGCAAAGCTTACGTGGGAACGGTCAGTCTGATAAGGAATGGCACGCAATCGACAGCGGTCTATATTGTCAGCCTAATATGAATATGGCTAATTGATATTATCTGTCGATTCCTGAGATTTACCAGAGGCCATATGACTAATCATACGTAAATATAAGTAAGACAATTCACTGATTGTTTGAGTTCTCAACTCACAAGTTGTTTAGAGTTAGTTGTTTACATAAAATAGACCTCTGACAGTTGAAGCTGCCACAACTCACATCATGACAACAAGGAAGATGAGAAAGATGGTAAGTGACATCATCTTAAAGCATTGAAAAACTCAATATGTAATATATGATTCATATAAAATAGGGGATGTACAATATCCGTAAAACATCACTGAGCACTGACCAAATAATTTACCAGGATGGACCATTTCAATTTAACATGACATGATAGAATGCTTAACAGCATAAGGAATTTTCTCCGAGTGAAGGACGACTAACGTGAAACGATCAATGCATTTCGTGTGACTGGGGTTTGCACTAGATGGGTACTCTTGTAAATTCTGTCTTTCGATCATTTTTTATATAAAATTCCACTTTACTGACGTCAAATAGGGCGCATAGCTTGGTTAACACAACAAGGTAAGCCAAGCAATACATTTATCACGTGATGCAACTGTAACCTGAATTAAATAGTCACAACATTAACGGGCGAGATATTAGTAATGATATTAACATGCGTACCTTTGTTCGAGTAAACCCGACCATTTATGGATTTCGCATAACAACAACACTTTGTTCTTACCTCCAGACGTAAAGTTGACATTTTGGTCTTCTTACTCCACATATCCGGTTCATAGTTGGCTTCAGATGAAATTGCTACCATTCATTTAGCATACAATTCATTTTGCTCAGTGCATTAGCCTATTTTTCGGACTGTTTCTATGACACTTGTTGCATATACTCATCAGCGTGGAAACCGAAATTGTTCCTTTCGTTCTGTTGAATAAATGTGATATGACGATTGAAGTAAATAGTTTCAAAAACTTTGTAACCACAAGACAATTTTTGCATACAAGGATACTAGGAACTTAGTTTTGGTTGTCAATGTGCGTTTTGCTCTCAGGTCTAGATATAAATAATTTAAGTGGTTGTAGGTCGTCCATCATTAGCAGAAGTGAATGTTGCTAGTGGAGCAGACTGAGAGGACTATCGTAGAGTGATTGATAAAATATCTAAATTAAAAATGCAGGACATTTTCAATAAAAGACACAAAGATAATGGGGAATTAAATCTTACGGCAAGAAAACCATGCGTGGATAAAATTGCATTAGAAGACTTAAACGTAACCGCTGCTGATTCAAAGGTCCAGAATTTATAATCTCAAAATGCGAGGGAATACGAATTGGGAAGGACTAAATAATCTAATAATTCACTCCTGCAAAAACTTTGCAACCACTGACTGAAAAGAATTTATAGGTGGTTCCCGACGTGAATCACAAAATATCTCAACAATTTCATGGAACTAGTAATTGTCTGATAAATATGAAGTGAAGATATCAAACTCCACCCAATAATGCCGCGGGTGATTGGAGGAATCGACTTATCTTAATAGAAAGATCGGACAGCCCCATTAACGTCACCATAAAAACCCAACATAATAAATAAAAGGACGGACAATATTGTCGATCTCCGGCTATTTAGTTGCCTTAATGACCTCCGAGTAGGAGTAATAAAGAAGCCTACTACCTGGCTCCATGCGAAGAAGTATACTGACACTCGGATGGACCTGATGTATAATTGGAAGACACAAGAAGAAAAACGAATCTAAATGAATTAGTGACCAAATTATGAACCAGTCGGTATAACTTACGATTGGTGAGACCTTAGACAGTCACGTCTTAGTAGTGAATATCGTATGAATAAGTTTCTTCCTTAAAAAGTTATTAAACACCACTCTTCGTTTGTGCTCAGTAGCTCTCGTATAAGCGGCAGGTTGAAAATCGAATCCCACCTCGAGCTGATAAGGCACTTATTACACCCCTTAAATACAATTTCATGCCTTACCGATATGTCCAATTATAAACTAAGAAATCACACTAGGTTTGTCGAAATGCAGCACTACTATGGATCTAGCGCACCAAAAAAGTCTTCTTACGTCAGTTTTCTGTCAATTGGAATAGGATACGGGTTGGACTATATGAAATAGACTCCATAAGCCACTTGATTCACGGGTTAGATGGAATTCTAAACGACTTCAAGACACTAGGACAGCTAGCAGAACTTAGCTTCAACCACTTACTGTCACGATAGAACGAGTCAACTTAGATAATGATGTTGCTTCAACGTAATGTCTGATAGATTAAGTAATTGCATCATAGCAAATCCTCATTTGTAGAGTATGTCTATTATTCTAGTATCAAAGAATAATGCACACAATATAGATCTACATCATATATCTACAAGAGTTTCTTTCGTATTTGTAATTTTTCTGAGTGTGCATGTGAGAGATCATTATTACAGACATCAAACCAAATGTGAACGGTTTACGACTAATATAATATTCTCAATTCACTGATTTGATTGCTAGCTCTTATTCAGAATAGTGCTCCACATCTTTATCCTTCTAGTAAGAACATGGAAGTCAAAGAACCATTTGGCGAAAGAGTGAACATGTAAATGTCAACAGAAATTCATTTACAATGGGTCTGCTGGACTCTCGAATGTGACTTCATTCCTCCACATACAAATGATATTTGCTTCGAAGATCTAGAAGAAGGCCCTCTGCTATTCCTTCTCTACGTAAGTGAATTACCGCTGTTGCTTAGGTCGTCGACATTATTATTTGCGGATGATGTCAAAATATGTAGAGCAATAAGAGGTGAGGCTGATCATCTGGATCTTCAAGCTGACTTAGAGGATTTAGTTAGATGGGCTCGAGATTGGGGTTTAAAAATTAATTCTAGGAAGAGTGTGCTAATGCACATCGGTCACGGCAATAGTTACCATTAGTGGTAAACCTCTTCCATGCGTTCAAGAACATAAAGACTTAGGAGTAATAATAAGTCATGATTTAAAAACAACTGCGCATTGCAACGCAGCCGCTGTCAAAGGTTTTCGTGCGTTGTGGTCACTTCGCCGAGCGTTCAAATCCTTTGACGAGGAAATGTTTCGAATTTCATATCCCATATTTAGAGTACTGTATACAAGCAGCTAGCCCATGTCCAGCGTGTGTGAACGAAATTAGTGAAGGGTGTTTCTAAACTCCCTTACGATGAGCGTTTAAAACGCTTAAACCTTTTCCCCTTGTCGTATCGTAGGACTCGAGGTGACCTTATACTGGCATTTCGTATCTTTAATTATGATTTGGGTGTTAATATGTCTTATCTTTTTGCTCCCTCCAGCACTAATAATCTCCGAGGTCATAGCAAGAAGGTTCATAAACCACAATCTAATAAACTCAAGGTGGGGTTCCGTTTTTCTCATCGAGTAGTCAATGATTGGAACGCCTTGCCCGAACAAGTGGTATCAGCCCCATCAGTGAATATTTTCGAAGAGAAACTGGACCTTCACTGGAAGCCAACCTGTTAGGATTAACACAGGTTCACTAACCTACTATCCTTATTACTGAAGACTGAAGACTGGATCAAGGTTGATATTAGTTCTAACTAGATGAGATTAAGCAAATTAACATGCCTGCTACCAGTACGTGAGTTTCAGATAGGGAAAGTGTGAGCGGTCTTCTATTCAGTGACCCAGTACTTTTAGAAAGGATCACTGACGCGAGAAATATGAACTATTTCCTTTTTCGACCAATTCTAAACCAGCCTACTGCTATTGAATGATATCTGGAATATGAGTTTATCCATGTGGATCATTTCGATAAAAGCTTGCACAAAAATGAATGGGAAAAATGGCAGAAACAGGAAAAAAAATAAATTTTTGTAGTCAATATAACTGCAAGATATCTATGGGGCTTCACAGGATATTCAACCATAATTTATTATGAAAACCTCATCGAAAATTGCTTTCATCAAGGTCCCTTCAAAATTTCTTCTTAAGTTCTTAATGAGAAAAGTCGAATCGATATTTTCTTACTTCTTTTAAACATCAGTGTTTTAATGATGCTATGGTAACTATATAAGGACATGCAGCCCCGCTTTGGTCGAAAAAACTTCGGATTTTCAGGTTCACAATCATGCCAGTGTATAGATTTGAAGGCGATGTAAACATAAACTGCGTAGGTTTTTATAGTTCTTAATAATTAAAAACCATAAAGGTTTACTCTCCTGGAACGTGGCTTATAAATCGAGACAATCTATATTTGACCATAGAGGTTTTTGGGATAATTAAAAGAACACGTTTGCTCAACGCTATTTTCCCACTTCTCATCCACGAAAAGTTTTCATTTGATAAGGTTTGTTAATCTATTTTGTATAAAATCAAAACAGACTTTTTATACTGCTCTTTCTGCTTGTAACGTTGTGGATAGATTAGAAGGTAAAACTGAGTATAAATAATCGCCTTATCTTAGATTACACGGTAACAATTGAGATAAGACAAATTGCTGATGTTTATCTTGGAGGGACACTTTTAGCGTATTACTCGACGAACGCCAAGGAATTTTTCTCTCCATGTTCAAAAATGTGTTTGAGAACTATTCCTAAGAGAGATTTGCTGATGCTTAAGACGATTGATTTTCCAGTAACATATCTCTTTATTTTAACACTTTTAGGGCGTTTCCCCAAGACTAGAATATTCTGTTAGTTCTGCTATAAAATGTCACCCAGCTTCGTGTTATTGCACTTGCTGTGTAAGTGTGTATTTATTCTAAATCACTGTTTTAGTATTCTTTACCACAGTGCTGCTGTTACGATCCGTGAGTTTACATAGTTTCTTCTTTCTTTAAATTTCAAAGTATACGACCCAATGCAAGTCTATTATAAATGATTGTTTCCAAAATGATCCTTATTGAAAATTAGTTATCCTCCTATTTAATTAACAAAGGTAAGGTTAATAATAGGTATTGGCATATGTTACTTACCTAACTTGTTGATCAGTCTCTCATCACATAATATCGATAAAAGTTGTAGGAACGCTTTGAGACTTTAGATCTTTTTATTTTCACATGGTTTGGATTACTACTTACAGTTGATCAATTAAAGTAAGTACGTCAACTACAATGATTAACTTTGATGACTAAAGTTTGAGTGCCATTAAATTCAATGTTGAATTTCTAGTTTTATGTCAATTTTACTTGTTGTTCATGTTTTGTACAAGACTAGATATTGAATTTAGAAAATTTAAATGGAAACATTACGTTCCGTAAACTACTTCCACTACAGTAAGTGAGTAATATCTTGGCTCACTCATATACGAGTTAAAAAAATATTAAATGGTCGTTATTTTGTAAGCTACTTCTAGATGATCATATACATACATTCGAATGGTGTTTGATATTATCAAGATATATTTTATGCATTAAATACTTTTTTATCCTTCCTATCAACGACCATGAAAATAGTAAGATCGTTAAAGTACACATGGTTGCAACAATAATACTAGTACATTTCTGAAAATACTATAGATGAGAGCACAGCGCTGTAATTAACAATTTATAACTTTGATATAGCTAGTTTGTCGAAAATCATAATTACTTAAAATTTTAATTTTTACAGTTGTTAAAACTGCTTTTTTTATTTGAATTTTGAATTTTACATTTTGCGTTAAGTAATTTTTCATCTTCTGACTGACGCTTAGAAACACAGACTCACTTTAGGTGTACCAAGACATACTTTCAGATTTTATACACAAAACAAAGCCGATGACTAGAAGTTCTGCACAATTACTGATGAGTTTAAAAATAATTTCAACCAAAAAATAGTTTGACTACCTGGAAAATTTAACAACCTTAAGGTGTTTTCTGTATCTTTCAGCTTCATCCCATATAAGAAGCTAAGCCACAAAGCAGTCAAATTTCATTGCAAGTCGCGTTGTCATGTAAACATTATGGGACTTTAACTTTCAGACATGTCTACTTCGTTATGCATACACGGCTTTATTACTCGAACCAGAAACCAGTCTTCGTACTTTAATTTCTAGAGCTAAATTAATATGAATTTGTTATAGACCGATTAGTAAGGAATGGGGGTTTGGATTATGTAACCTGAAAATATGTTTTTTCTAGTCCTCATATGGGAGAAAGTAGTTTAAAAATTCCTTTTGAACTAAACCCTTCAAGTCGAAGGTATCCAGTCAAAAGTTAAGGAGGGACTTTTTAATAATTTATTAAATGTTCTAACCCTTTCCGTTTTATGAAACAATAAGTCATGGGCTTGTTTATTCGCCATCAAGAGTTATTATGTATATCACGCCGTCAAATTACACTCATAACCAATCACTTGAGTTTGTTTTTATTATTTTTAGATGTCTATACAAGCCATTAACACCGACGCCAAGTTATCATCGAGCAACAGTTAACAGTGCTTTGAGATGCCGTTATCCTGAATCTGATGGTTCTAAATGCATTGTAGCGTCTGATACTGCCAGTCATATAGCAAAGTCACAAAGTGCTTCAAGAACCTCCAGAAGCCCGAAGAGAGTAAGGTTAACATTACTTTTGACTACCTTCAAGCGCATATTTTTATGGCACTTCAGTGGAATTTTATTCATCTATTAACATGTTTACTTTAATTAAGATAACATAAGAATCAATTTTAGCTTTATCATGTAGTTAGTATTTGTTCAGCAAAAAGATTATTCTTTTGATTGACTCTGTTGTGTATCTGATTCTAAGGCTCTATTTTAGATTACTTCAATCATTTGTTTATAAAATTTTTGGTTTTGTTTCAAGGGGGGTAATTTAGATGGGCCATATTCGTACAGACCTCAGTGTCGACCAAGATCATTGTCTGCGCGTAGTCGTCAAAGTAAGTTATGATTCGTTAACAATATTTACCGTTGCTTCTTACACGTATACAATGTTACATTTTAGTACATTATCTAAACAATAGTACCATAATTTCTTGTATTAGATGTAATCGACTTTATTTTTGCGGATATCAACAAAATACTTGAGAATTATTGCCAAATTCATATTTATAAATGTATTTGCTTTGTACTTTTGTCTAAAATTAAATGTATTCAAGGACAAACACTGGATTGTGCATAGGCACTCATTAAATGAAAGATATTGAAAAATACATCAAGACTATAGGCAATATTTACAGGGGTTTATCACTGAAGCAAACAATAATACCAGCAAGTTTATGACTATTATGTCTATCAGTCAGTATATTAGTTAAAACTATAATAAAGTTAACTGTAAATATACATTAGTCCAATATTTCATACAGTCACATAGTTTCTTAAGGAATAGATTCAAAATATGAAAAGTATGGAATTACGTAAACGTTGATATTTAGAGATGGATAAGATGCTGAATGTATTTTCTAAAGAAGTCATTGTCAATTTTACTACTGTCTTTCAATGAAATCAAGACTTTTAGTTTTAATTCATTGTTGTGCTTCAATTACATTTCAGTTTTATGTATTTAGTAATGGATTAAAACAGAATTGAATTTCTTATTATCATATTTAAAGATATTTTTCAACTATTCGCTTACATTATTTTGTTAAAATTCAAGTGATAGTAAAGTAAGTAGTGTAATAAGGTATTTTTGCATATATATCTAAGGTTCAAAATTGCTGATATTTAAAGCCTAAAGAATAAAAATATCGAAATGTTCAACTAGATGTTGTGTACGATGTCAAAATAGTGAATTTATGGTGAATATCTGGAAGATATAATCTACCCTTATCGTCTTTTGCTAACCCAAGGCCCGAGGGCGAAGTTGTACTGCTGACTGTACAGAGATGTGACGGTATTAAGGTGTTTCCTACAGACAACCAGCATAACAGCAATGTTGCCTCCTCACAAGAAGGAGTGAAGTTAGAAAAGAACTACCCGAAAAATACACACCTTACCTTATTCCATGGATATCCGTCTCTGGTGGTAAGGTCTCAACAATCACGGAGCTAACATGAAAATTACTCACGAAAAGGTCGTGTGTGATCGACCTCAGGCAGTTGTCCCTTGGGCACTGCGGTCACGCTCTCGTGTTATTAAGACCACCCCTAACCCAATTTCTTTTTCAGGTACCTTCAGAAAAACCCTTCCATGGTGAATGCGTCCGGGAAGTGATAACCTCCCTCATACCTTTAACAGAATTCAAGATCACTTTATTCACTATTTTTCGCTGACTCTTACTTAAAGATTCTGTAGAATACGAATAGAAAAAAGTGCGCTTTTCGTTTTCTCAATTTCATAAACAACAGTAATGCCTTAAGAAGGCAGTGAGTAGGACTTCCCTGGCAGTGTTTGTGTACACGTGGCTATGTGAGAGCGTTTGGAGAGGCAGTGCTGACTCTTCCAACTTTTAGCCGTATCAGGGCATTTTGGGGGCACACAAATGTCTACAGTCCGATGCGGAGAAATTATCAATGTGTATGTTTGTTTGATATTCCTTTGCTTTTCTTATTAAAGTAATTCGATGATTAACAGTTTTTAAATACAAATTTTCATTAAAAATACATTTCAGATTACAATGACATTTCGGTAAGTTATATCTTGATTATAATTTTTTCATTATACCACTAACTAACTATTGTCCTGTATTTAATTAAGGTAAGTGAATATTATGGAATCGAATTTAAAATGTGTAAAATAATCATCTACGTCAAAGTATCATAGAAAACATTTTCTTCCTTTTCTTGATTAATTCAATCACTTCAACCAAAATCATTTCAGAATCTGGTAGATATATCCATTGGTTTAAGTTGCTTTACCCTATCACCGCAACAAGATGTAATTACTAACTTAGATAACAGAGTATTAAAGGTAATAATAGTATCAGAACAAGCTGTGAGCCATATGTAAAGAAATTTAAACACTTCACTTCTAATTTAAGGATTGTGCTGATGATCTCGTTCAGAAGAACAATCAAAGCTTGAAGATCAAACCATCCAGCACATATATGCATCGGCCTAAGTTGTCATACCCCATTGGCACAGCAAGATGAACACCGGATTCATAGAAGCAGTTAACTCAATGGTGATAATGTATAAAAGAAAGATTTTGTGTAATGATATGGTACAGAAAAAGAAAATTAGTTCGTAGAAAGATATGAAGCAATTTTAATCTCATGGTTTAAAAGAAGACAAAGAGTGTAGACACCCATGCTATTGTAATCGATTCTGAGCCATGTCACCAAAAGTCTTCAACCATTGGTTACGACAGTCACACTCACCCCAACCAAGTAGTTTGCATCTACCAACGTGGCTAGGACTAGAAGTTAGTGACTTCAAGCACTGATGCCATGTATTGGTTTGGCCACCCCTAACTTTCTTTCAACCATCCACAATACCGGTTAGCATTGCATGTCGTGGTAATCGATGTTCAGGCATATGTAACACGTGGCCTAACCATCTCAATCGATGAAGATTCACAATCTCATCAATTGATTTACCATCATTCGCTAATACTCTGAATCTAACCTCATTATTACTTATCCTGCGTTTCAATCTGAGCTATAAATCTTTTCTACCATCTTCAAAGTCAACAGTTTCGTTGTATCCCAATATATGAAGAATAAATAATGAACGATAAAATTCATTTAATAATCATGAATATAAACTGTTTGTTTGTTTGTTTGTTTTTCTGGTTGATTTCAAACATACCATTATTGAAGTTGATATAATTCTACAGTAAGTACAATATTATCACAATACCACCATTTAACAATAAAAGAAATAAGAATAAATGCAAATCATATGACTGATACAATCTTTATTATCATTTTTTAAATGTTAATTTTATTTTTTAGCCTGTTAACTCATTATCTACATGGGATCTACGTGAACGGACAATTCGAGATGCACAAGATCGCAGGTAATTTATTATTGTTATACTTTATTTTTTTTATTTTTTTAATGGAAAACAAAAAAAAAGACAAAAAAAAAGAGAGAATAATGTACTTTAATGATTAATTGCATTATAAGTTTATTTTTATGTATGAAGAAGAATCTATAGAGTGGGTTTATTTTTCCATTTTAAAATATCTCATCATTGGGAGAGAAATAATCAATACCTAGACACCATGGTAACAATTTTTAACTGAATGATAACAATTCTGGTTACATATATAATAATAATAATAATAATAGGAGTTATAGATGAACTAGATGGATAAAAACACTTAGTAGACAATGTGATTTATAATTCTTTAAGGCTGATTTTAATATTGTTAATTATATAAAATGTTAACTGGCTTTTATTTTATTAAAGAGATATAATTTCAATGGTTGAGATCTTGAGTCAATTGAAGCTAGACTATCATTGGAAACCTGGAAGCAGTGGATGGACGTTTTGTTCTATTGTAGGACTCTTCAGCAGTGCTCATCCTTGATCTCGCCTCGAGAGATTCCAACCTAGGACTTATCAGTCTTGAGAGCGAACGCTTAACCTCTAGACCACTAAGTTGACATCCAATGCTATTCATATCTAACTTTAAATAATCCACAAAATTGATCCACATATCCATCATTGTCTTCAGTGAGTTACTATCTTACAACAGATCTGGTTGAAGTCCACTTGCCGGTGGTTCTCACTAGAACTCCAGGAAATGCCTCTTGAAGCCAGGTACTAGTGAGCATATGTTGATTAGTATCAGAAGGGGTTTTGCTGGATAATATAGTAATATCAATAGTTGAGATCATCAGTCAATTGAAGCTAGACCATCATGGAAAACCTGGAAGCACTGGACAGCACTTGGATGCACACCGCTGAGCAGTCGCACAAGAAAACGAAATGAACGTCCAGTGCCTTCAGGTTTTCCATGATGGTCTAGTTTCAATCGACTCATGATTTCAACCATTGAAAAAGATAGAAGTTGAATATGTTTAAACTCTATTAAGTCATATTAATAATTTCTTCAATCATAGTAAATAAAAAGATATTCTGTAGAGGGGGGGTATAACTCATTACCTGATTACTAAATCAGTCACAGTTTCAGTAACTATGATAAAAATGATAATATTTATTACTCTATTTAATGAATATACTTCTGCTTATAGTGAAGAATACTAAAATAAAGTTCCAATCTTCTATTGAATAATTTTGTGATTGATCAGAATCAATCCACAAGAAACCATATAAAACCAGTAGTCAACAGTCATCTAAATTTCATTCTTAAATATCTCCCACTAGTTTAGTTACTATCCTACTTTTTTTGTCGACATCTGTCATTCCTTAAATTGATAGACAAGAAAGAATATATACCAATCACTTTAGTAGTGATAGTAACTCCACTTGAATCTTATAGATGTTTAGTCTCCTAATAACTTATTTATCTTTTCATATTAGTATATAAATCATTCAAGTTACTAAGGAAACATTTAAAATACTGAGACTAACTAGAAATTTTACACAATTAGTAACTAGGTAGTGCATACATCTTTAATAAGCTACCCCCCCCATATCAATTAGATGTATGTTTAATAATCAAAACCTTGTTGTTTTTTATAGAAAAAAACCCAATTTAAGCTTTAAAATTTATTGAATATCATCATCATCATCATCATCATCATCATCATCTTCTTCTTCTTCTTTTGTTTGTTTGTTTGTTTTATTTTACAACTCTATTCATTACAATCATTTCTGTGACTACAATCACAATATCAGTGATCGTTATTGGCATTTGTATCGATTTTGGCAAAATGAATATGATCGGCTACGCTTACAAAGATGTTAAAATAAAACAAGATCAGAAATGTTATGTTCTTCCTTAATAAAGAACACTTTCAATTCAGATTACTACTACTACTACTACTATTATCATTATTATTATTACTATTATTGTTACTGGAACTTAGATCTATTATCCTTTGATAATAGTCACTATTCAAATTAGATTTGAATTACAATTATTTTACATACAAAATATAACTATTGTTTATTTGTATAGTTGACAGTACTAGTCAGGAATTATTATGTCAGGAACTGAAAATATTAGACTATAATTGAAATAGTGTTCAGATTTTCATTATATATATATATATATATATATATATATATATATATATATATATGTATATATATACTACTTAATTCTACTATATATGTATATGTATGAATTATGTATGATTATACTACTTAAAAAAAGAATGTGAAAACTTTATTAATGTATTTTTGTTGTTGTTTTTTTAGTTCTTTTACACTTTTATTTTCTATATCTTAAACGTATCTGTACAACAATCTATTGATACAATGTGCCTTAATGATAAAAAAAAAACAAAAGATAATAGAACATATGAATATACTACTGAAATCCATTTATTTAGTAAATTAAGTATTATATCAAGATTTATCAGAAACAAAAAAAAGATTTTATTCTTTACAACAAAATAGATGACCAGATTTTCAATTATCTAGTTTATATTTCAAAAGAAAAAAAATCTATGGTATTCTTGTTATTTTTTTGTCAATTTCATAATGATACTATTTACTACTTATTCTGTGATGTTTCAGTAGTATATATTTATAAAGTAAAATGTATATCCAAGTATGCTCATTTCAATACATTTTTAAATGTATGAATTAGTTATGTTTTATTTATGAAATTAGTGTATCAATAATAATAACAATAATAATAATCATAAAATATAAAGATTAGTTTCAAAAATTTGTATTGTTAATTTTTTATAAACAACATATAAGATTCAGTTTTGGGAGTTGTGTAGATTGTCAAGTTTTTGATTGAGATTATGAACCGATTGATGTTAGATCACCATTGAAAACTTGGAAGCACTGGACGGCCGTTTTATCCTATTGTGAGACTCCTCAGCAGTGCGTATCCACGATACCGCTCGCGAGATTCAAACCCAGGGCCTTCAGTCTCGCGCGCGAATCTGATGGAGTTTTATTGTCTGAACTGGATGATTTAGTTGTGGAGATTTCGTCGTTCTTTTGTGAAGGATATTATTAACTGTGAACCATATGTGGAGAAATTCGAACGCCTCGCTTCATTACCTGATGATATTGTTCAGATGAATCATGAAAGCATTACAGCTAACCTATCAAAATCATTCACCTGAGATACAAATCTTCTCCATCATTGGTTTGTACGAAATCCTTCCTTATTCATAATAGAAAGGAACGGACAATTGAAAAAACGATAGTTATACATAATAAATAGAAACAATAATAATAATAATATTCACTTCATTGATTACCAAATGACATTCGTTACGGTAACGTCCCCCTAATAATAAAATATACAAATACGTGGCCAATCATTTGGCATATCCATTTAACTAGTAAATATTCATAAGCTAAAAACAGTCCCTACTTGTGCTCTGTTTACTATAATACGAATATAAAATAACGGACATCTTTTGATTCGATGGAAGATAGGCATGATGAAAAGTATACTGACGATTGTGATATTAACATATAACAACTCTCTTACAATCAATCTCTATTATGGTTAAATTTCAGTTAAGCCCTTATTCGAGAAGTAGTAGCTCATCTATTCCTATGTACTGTTTATTTGTTATTTTATTTCAACACATAGATATTGGTACAAGGGGGCAACAAATACATATGCGCCACACGAATCTCAATTGATTTGTGTGAGGGCTGTGATACTGCCCGGGTGCCCAAACCGAAGCAGGTGGTTTTCTTAGGGGGCCACACCCCGAGCCTTTGACCTGAAGATCTGACCCACAAGGCAGTGGAGCATCGTAAGGAGATGCAGTCCCATGGTAGCCGGTGACCAACGATTGGTTCATACGCCATTTGTTCCTTCAGGATACTGGAGCCCATGTGCACCATTGGTTTGGGGTCCGGTTAAAGCGCCGGACATTCGCTTTTCGTCCTCTCATTTTTGTAAACAACACCCGTGGTGCGAGAAGGCAGTGAGTAGGACTTCCCTGGCAGAGGCTATATACGCATGGCTATGTGTGAGCATTTTGAGAGGGTTATGATCATTAAATCATATAATAGACTCGAGCTAAAATGTTTATCACTTAAATATCACTCAATGATTCATACTCTTTCTTAATGTATATCAGTAAATGAATTCTATTATTAACCTTTATCTTGCTTAATTAAACCTTATTCAATTTCATTATAAATTTATCTCTATATTTGCTTATATACACATAAATTCTTCACTCTGCTTCAAACACCGTTGAGATTTATATAATAACGATTACAATGATGATTGATTAACGAAACAAAGCCATTACAAGTATCTGAGAGATATTCACTACTAAGAATCATATAATGCCAGTAAACGCTTTATAGAATAAACATAAGATAAGAAAATCTATTATAACATATATACAATTGAATAATATACATCACGTAGTTGGTTAGTATATAATAATATTAACTAATATATAGAGGAATGTAGCTTCAAAATTATCATAGATATCCAATTCATTGATGTGTTTCAATAATTTGAAAGTAAAGTGTAAGCGGTGTACTTAATGATCAAATGAGAAGATAGTTTTGACTGTACAACACGACGTAAGATGAAAATCGATAATCGAAGGCTATATATATATATATATATATATATATTACGCAAATCCTTTCCAGTTTCTTTCATTTAACATTTCTTCTGATTATTATCAGAAAGGAAGATATATTGAGATTGTAGTAATTTTTTATTAATTGAATTCATGAGTCAATTAAAGTTAGACCACTATGAAAAACCTGGGAACACTGGATAACTGTTTCGTTCTAGTATGAGACTCTTCAGCAATACGCATCCAGGATTCAAAAACAAAATGTTCGGTCCCGTATACGAACTCTTAACTTCTAGACCAGTCAGATGGTATCCAACAGTGCTAATATCTAACCAAAACTGTTTAACTCAAATTATGACAATTTATGTTTATTTAATATCTAATTAGTTATTAAAAGATAATAGAAATAATAATTGAGTAAAGTAATCCTTTTAAAAGTCATATATAAATAATCAGTGAGAGAATTAAGTACAATTGAATGTAAAAACGTTGCTATATGTGCATATACTACAAGTTACAACTTCTTGACATATGTTGTTATCGCTTGGAGCAAATAATAAATGACTAGTAATCTGGGACTTATAGATGTCGATAGATAGATAGATAGATAGATAGATGTGTGGATAGATAGATAGATAGATAGATAGATAGATAGATAGATAGATAGATAGATAGAAAGAAAGAAAGAAAGAAAGATAGATAGATAGATAGATAGATAGATAGATAGATAGATAGATAGATAGATGTGTGGATAGATAGATAGATAGATAGATAGATAGATAGATAGATAGATAGATGTGTGGATAGATAGATAGATAGATAGATGTGTGGATAGATAGATAGATAGATGTGTGGATAGATAGATAGATAGATGTGTGGATAGATAGATAGATAGATAGATAGATAGATAGATGTGTGGATAGATAGATAGATAGATGTGTGGATAGATAGATAGATAGATAGATGTGTGGATAGATAGATAGATAGATAGATAGATGTGTGGATAGATAGATAGATAGATAGATAGATATATGAGTTATAGACGAGTGAAATCCTTAACTACCATAATTTCATTTATGTTATTTTTGTTATGATTTGTTCCAATACTCCAGATTATTTGTTTATTCAGATAACGGTCTTTGGAATATTTGCAACAATACTATTACTAACACTGAATATGACTATTACTACTACTACTACTAATACTAATACTAATACTAATACTCCTCCTCCTCCTCCTCCTACTACTACTACTACTGCTACTACTACTACTCAGGTTGAATTTTCGATGACAGACGTTAATTCAATATGATTATTCTGAGTATCTATTGAATTGTGAAATCTTAATATATAACTGAGTCAAATAAATGTAGATTTAGGTTTTTTTACAAGGTTACACTTATCAGCAAAGAGTATTCATAACCTTCAGAAGGGGTATTGTTTCCTGTAGACTTTAAACACATAACACCCACTTTCATTGATTTGTTTCAATTGTATTTCATCTGATGATTGACTTATTTACATTAATTTATTATTTAATTATAACCACTGTTATATTAATCTACTTCTTAAGAGTAATCAAATATGTTAGAATGGTTATGAACGACAATACAAGTGGGTAAAATTGAGAACCATATTGTAAATGAATCATTTGCAAAATATTAGACATTCATCTCACACTTTATGGTTCTTTCGTTTTCACATCAATCATTCACTGTTCTCATTCTCTTTTCTTTGATCTTCTTCATCTTGTGCCTACAGATATTTCACTTATGATTGATGACACATACTACTTATGTCTATTGACATCAGTAGTACATACCACATAGTGGTATTTATTCTTCAATTAGATGATTCTGTTTTATTTCTATGATAATTCATATTGTTTACGTTAGATTCTTATTTAAAAGAAAGATTTTTAGAGGGATTACAGATATTACTTATTCACGATCGGTAGGCTTATGATATAAAGATTCCCAGTGTTATCTCCGTTTAGAGGTTATATGTATACTCATTTAAGTAATGTTTAGTTGTATCATCCCATTACAAGCAAACAATATTTAGTAAATTTAAACTTTACCCCATTACATAAGTAAGTGGTTATCAGAATTCAGTAGCTAAGTGGATAACACGATGATGTTTGAAATAAACAATAGTGGATTCAAATTCTGAAGTAAATATTATTATTATTACTAGGGACGTTATTCAATATTAAATT